CCTTTCCCAAACAATCTACCAGGGCTGACATTTATGTTCCAGAGCGGCGGCACAGATGAAGAAACGCTCATTGAGGCCTTTCTGATGGCCTACGATGATGGTGTACGTCCAAACACTCAAGAAACTCGGTAAGACGAGCCAGTCTTCTAACTACGCTCCAGGCCGACATCATAACCTCATCAGTCGGAGGCCGGGGGGGCTTCTCCAACAATGCTTGGGCGGAGATAGCTTCACGTTTAGTGGACAGAGGCCTTGTCGTCACCATCTCCGCAGGCAACGACGGCGCCGGCGGTGCTTTTCTTGCTGACAACGGCCAGTCCGGGAGAAATGTGCTCTCGGTGGCCTCATCTGAGCCCGAGTCTGTTCCCGGAATGCCTTTCGACGTGACGTTCGAGTACAAGAACGGCGACGTCAACACGACTAGGTTTGGATTCTTCCACGGGAGTCTCGTCCACCCTTTCCCTATCAACATGAACTCTTCGGGTCTACCCGTCACTGCACTCTCGTTCGACCCCTATGACGTTACAGTCGGTTGCCGCTTCCTGGGGCCAGATTCGCGAAACCTGTCCGGTGCTCTGGTTCTCGCCCCCCGGGGAGGATGCAACGGTGCCACAAAGAGATACGCGCTTCACTCCGCCGGAGCGGAATATGTGCTGCTTTTCAATGATGACAACTTATACCCCCTGGAGGGGGATTACAGCACCTCTAGAGTCGAGGGCATATCGGACCGAGGCGCGGGCGTCCAGATCCTCGCCGCTTTGAAGGAGGGAGCCAACGTCACGGCCAGGTTCTTTGACGAGTCACACACGTCATTCGTTAACCTCAAGAACCCCGCTGTTGTCAGTTCAAAGTTCACCTCGATGGGCGGGCTTTACGACCTCCAGATCAAGCCGGACGTTGCCGCGCCGGGGTCCAACATTTACTCAACCCTGCCAGGCAGAAAATATGGCCTCATGTCGGGGACATCGATGGCAACGCCTTATGTGGCTGGCATCGCTGCTCTTTACATCAGCAAATACGGCGGCCGGGCGACTCACGGCCCCGAGTTCGGCAAGAGGCTTTCCGCCCGTATCCTGTCGAGCTGCGACTCCGCCCGCTGGAACGACGGCAACAATATGACGGACTACGGTACCTGGGCCCCCGTCTTCCAGCTCGGAAACGGACTGGTGAACGCTACCAAGGTCCTGAACTACAAGTCGGAGCTGTCCTTCGCCAAGTTTGCGCTCAACGACACAGTCAACTTTGTGCCTACTCACTCTGTCAACATTACAAACAACTGCATGGGGTCCGTCACGTATAAATTTTGCCTCCAAGCTGCTGGCGGCTACGAGGTTTTGGACAACACAGCCGCGGCGTCCCTAAAGATGGGTCCTGAGTACATGGAGTTTACCCCGATGGACGTGGTGCCGGTTCCTAACGTGACCTTCCCTGAGGGTGAATTTACGGTTGGCCCCGGCGAGACCAAGATGGCGAAGTTGGTTCTCTTTCACCCAGTTACTATAATTTCTGGACTGATTCTCTCCTGCAGGTTTACCTTTGCGCCTCCCAAAGGCCTCAATGCCTCAGCGATGCCTCTCTACAGCGGCAAGGTCCTCATCCATGGGTCTAACGGGGAAGAGCTGGCCGTGCCGTATATGGGTGTTGCGTCTGACGTTCGAAAGAACTTTAGGAAAATGTTCGTCGAAGGCAGTCCTAGCATATACTCAGGACGAGACGCGATGCCCATCGTATACAAGTCCAAGTGAGTGGCTTCTCGCAGGCTTACTAGGAGGTGGGGCTTTCTGACAGGCTAGCAGCTTCACATTTAACCTTTCGGTCTACGAGCAAGACTTCCCGAGGCTCCAAGTTCGGCTTCGTTATGGCGCCCAAATCTTACGCTGGGACATTTTCGAGGCTGGTTGGGAGGAGAAAAGCTGGGGGACATACCCGCCCGTTCCCGGAATGGGCGGCTTCATCGGCATGGCGGCTACCTGGGTATGCTTGCATTTCCTGAGAACACCTATATTAACCGCTTTTCTTTTCTGGTCTGACGTCAGATAAGGATAACGAAAGACATACGGTGTATTTTGATCCGGACTCCCATGACGAGTTCGACCTCGTCAGGGGCCCGTTGACTGAGTTGTCCCGTGATGACTACAACTATTCTCCGTATCAGGCGTGGTGGCTGGGACGCTTCGCTGACGGCCATAAGATCCAACCTGGAAAGTACTCGTAAGTCACGTCTCTAAGTTGATCGACCTATTGTTTCCTGCCTCTTACTGATGAATTCTAGGATGCGTATCGCTGCTCTATCTCCGTTTGGAGATCCTGCCAAGAGCGATCACTGGGACATCTGGAGGCATGACTTTGAGGTTATTGGGAACCAGACAGAGACCAATAAGTGAACGACCCCGGACTTCGTGCTTGCTCTAGTCTAGGCCTTTACGACTTGAGATAGATAGCATCATTGCCAATGGGTCTGTTGCCGTCAAACACGCACACTTCTACATAGTACAATTACCGGACGATTGTCGACCTCATCTTCATAAAATGGGAATCCTGGGCATGTTTTTCATTTGGGTGTAAATATTGGCTTCAAGAAACGAATGTTTTCTGTGACATCTGCAGTCTTTGTACTTGTAATATCAGACACCCCTTGCCTGGAGTTTATTTTCTAATTCGCCGGGTCAGGCATGTCAATCTTGATTTGATATCTTACCTTTCAGTTACATTTCCAGCGTTGTCACGAAGCTTTGTTAATCACTGGCGGTTCGCTATACTAAAAATTCGTTGTGTTGAATGTCAACAAGTCAATCAAACTGACGGTCCGAACTCGGAGGAATATAAACGATACAGCACTAGAGTTGATGACTTCTGAATCGCTTTCTAGTTGATTGGTGGGTTGTTAACGGCGAAGGGAATACCATGTCAGATTTCTGCCCTAAATTGACATGTCCCTCGATAGCTCCACTTGCATTCAATACTCTGGCGTGCAGTTTTCACCTTGACTAAACGCATGTCCTGTTTATCGTCGACCGGTCGATCTTCCTTAGGAGCCTTGGTATTCATGTCAACAAGGTTCAGACTCTGAAAACCGATTAGGGATAACAAACGATGGACGACTATAATCCGAAAAACTGGTGGCTCCCGGCGGCGGGGACGAAAGGACGGCCGCCGAGTTTGGGATAGCGGGCATCTTGGCGCGGGCAACATATTCAAAACCAGCCGGTCCGGAGATCCCCGGTAGCCACTTTTTCAACAGTCCATCAACGGCTCCGCAAGACTTTTATTCGCGACTGGAGACAAGCAAAACGATCTTTGTCGGGTCTGGTTTCTCGTTGCGATGGAGCGAGCGACCAAGGGGCAAGGGCATACCGTTCTTCCTCAACGACCCGAATCGATACGGCCGCCTCGCGCGGGAGCTTTCGCGGTTCGTGGCGAGCACGATGTCGCCCAACAATCCAAACAAACAAGTATCGACGGACGACGAGATAAGGTACCAGGCTCGCTGGATACTCTACAACGAGTAAGTGAAGTTGCGTGGATGGAAACCTCTGGGAAAGAGCGTTTGATTATATTACTCTGCTAACCGAATGTCGTTCCAGTGACGATCCATGGAACCAGACTCCGGCAGATATTGCCGAATGGTTGACTAATTTCAAAAAGCAGGTCAGGTTACAATAGACTCCCAAAGGCAATCTCTCACAAACCTCGCGTCTTGGTTATACTATCAATATTTGCGAATCTGTCTGGAGTTTGAGTTAAACTTGCTAATCCCGGACTATGAGCACACCCATACAAGCGCATCGGCATCTTGACGATGGACACATCGGCAGTCTTGGATAGGCCGTTGTGGATGGCCCGTCAATATACCGGCTCGGTCGGAGCGGGATATTAACATGATGTATGTAGTCTGCGGATTCAACAGTTTGCATTTAACAGAATAAAGTATTTATCAGTTAGCTAGGTTATGCTGGGCACGCAACGGGTCCCGTCCGGAAACTCAGAAACCGAGAAACTCTTGATCCCTGCATTTACCTGGGGGCCCGCAATATCTTAGTCCATGACACGGGGACATTGGTTTTGGGACGAGCACAAGTCATGGATGTCACTTTGTAATTACTCCCGGCGCTGAATTTAAATGCTAAGCACACAAAGTCCAAGCAGAGGACATCAACCTTTCTTAGGACGAAATGGCATTGCACGAGTCATACTGGATGGGACTTTTTCCCTACTAAAATACGAATATCAGACGGTTCCTTTTCAGGTTGCACAGGTACACAGTGATAATCTAATACAGTTGGAAAAACACAGTATGAATGTCATGCCCGATCATCAACACAGCACAAGGTTTTGGAAGAAAGGGACTTTGGTTACGTGGGTGGAGAAAGGAAATTAGGTATTCCACAACTGCGGGGTCCCTGTCCGCCATATTATTTTACCTACAAGAAGCCCGGCTATGCCCAGAAGAAGCCTCGAAGATTCGAAGTCGCCCATGCCTTCTCATCCAAATATCCGATGGTGAACATCAAGGAAGCCGCGCAAGCCGCAATGATGGCCTACGGCCTCGCCACCGAACAAGGCGGGAACGCTTCCGCGCCGTTAGAGGGCGTCGCTGATACATTAGCCTCCTTCTACCTCACCAACTTCACGAGCTTCGCCCTCGGCGGCATCAGCAGCCTCCCGAACCACGAAGCCGCCACCGCGGGCGTGCTGTACCAACTCAAGGCACTGAACCAGAGCGGCCTCGGCACAGACATCCGGTTCTGCGGCGGCCGCGTCGACGTCGTCTCCGACCAAAGCGCCCTATGCTGGGTTACGTTTGAGATCAAGCCCCGGACAGACAAGATCGAGGCGTGGTCGTGGACCAACGTCTACGGATTCCGAGTGCAGGCGGGACGAAGCAACGGCCTCGAGGGCGGGTGGGAGTCTAGCAATGCCGACCAGGAAATTGGAAAGCTGTTGGAGAGAGTTCCAGACATTTACAAGGGCGGAACCGTTTAAACGGGAGGGAGAAATTTAGCAAATTGAAGTGTATTAATGCACTGTTATTAGACTGTCTACGGATAGACCACAAATTCCTCCCCCTTAACGTCCGAATAAAGAGCCTTTACAACAAAACCGCTGCGATAGCCATGCCGGCAATCAGGCCGAATACTTCGCGCGACGCCCCAAATGGAGCCGCAGAACTGGGTCTGGTAATGGCCGAGGTGGGAGCGGATCCGTTGCTCAAGATGGAAGTCTGGGGGCTAGCGGCCGTCTTGGGGGTAGTCATCAGGAAAGAGGCCGTCGCGTTCAGCCCAGCAGGAGGAGAGACGACATCGGTGACAGCTGGCGCAGCCGAAGTCGAGACCTCGGTGGTACACTCGCTCTCAACCAGATCGGTCTCGCTTGGCTTGGTCTCGATTGCGGCAGCAGTATCGGAGACGGTGGGGATGGCGCTCTCCGGAGCCGACGTGATGACGGACGGCCGCGTGGGCTGGGCGTAAGCCGCGTCGCTGGTCGCCATCGGAAGGAACGAAGGCGAGTACGATGCGGTGCCCTTGTACCCGATGCATCCGGGGACATCAGTCCTGGGAGGGGCGCGGCCGCCGCCGCAGTCGAGGGCGGCGCAGATCTCGCCGGTGCCGGGGACGTACCAGACGACGGTCGCATAGGGAGTGCCGCCCTGGGTGGGGGTGACGACCGAGTCGGAGGATACACAGCCGGCGAGGTCCGTCTTGGCCAGGACGGTGGTCGCAAGGACAGCGACAGAAGCGACAAGTCTGTAGGACATTTTTATAATTGCTTGTTCTTTTTCGGAATTGTTTTCGTGTTTATCAACAAGTTGGAAGTCTCGAAAAAATTGTATGTTTGTAGTTGAAGAGAATGATACTGGTAAACGAGTGTGTTGATCCGGTAATGAAAGTCGACTGAGATGCTTGAGGCTCTGGTTTGAAAAACGAAACAAAGGGAGGAATCGAGCATTTAAATCGTCTTTAACGATCCTTTTCGATGGCTATTTTGCCTGACCCCTTAGCCCATAACGAATCTCGAGCCCGGGTTGAATGACGCCAACCGATGACGCTAAGCGGGCCTGAGACGGCAGTTAGACGCCACTTCATCTTGGAGGCAGTCCAGGCGTCGAGCGAAAGAATCCTATGGCGCCCAACCAAACGGCTTTGTGATGCTGTGGCTTTTTGTTGTGTCTCAACAGGTGCCGACATGCCGGATCCTCGCCTTTCCCTCGTTGGTTCATGCCCTATCGGGATGTCTTCCTCTAGGGCCGAGGGCACTTCAATCAACTTCGATAGGTAAAGCTCGTACATGTAACTGCGCCACCCCTAGCCGGAATTCCGCCGGTCAATCCCCGTTCCAGGATTTTGATCCTCGACAAGTGTGGTCTTTTTTTAGGCTGTATCTCCCCCTTTCTTTCCCTTTTCTTGTGGTTTCTTTTTCTTTCCAGTTGTATTTCCGGAAACATGCGTGTTAGTGCTTCCTGCTCGGGTTCCGTGTTGCGAGCCCAACAAACAAGTTCGGTAGCGAAAACATCAGACCAGTTAGCGGATTGCTTGGTCGACCTGAAGCATATCCTCATGGAGGGCTGTTAGGCTGGTTGTGAGGAATGTGGTCAGACTGGTCCTATGTCAACCATAGATGCCAGTCATGAGCTTGTGCTATGTCCCTCCACAAGTACGCGAGCTGAGCGGAGCCTTAGTCGAGAGATCATCCAGGCCGCCAAATCTTTTGGGTGAAATATTGGTTCTCGTACGGAAGTAACCATCCGAACCAGCACATGAGATCGTTGTGTGACAGAAATGCTCTTGTCAGATTACTATTGAAAGGGTGTAGGGTAGACGGGGACCTATGCAGTGCAATGATCTAGGTAGAAACACTGAAACCTACTAAGGCAACACAAGACGCTTCCCCCAATGAGTCCCGTGGAATACTTTGGTCAGGGCAGATAGTCGCTCTAATCAAAGTATGGCCAAAGGCTGATCGAAAGAGTAAACGCTCCTGAGGTTCTTGTGTTATTTGTGTTATTTCAACCAAAGGTCAATTATAGAAAGGCTGTCCTCTGATTATAGCAAGATAAGCGGGAAAATCCTGTCCTAAGTTTGTTGTTAAATTGTATATCTGTGTCCTAAGCTGCTGACCCTTATATCCCCTGATTAGTATAAGCTGAAGTGATTCCGGCCGTCTATCAGTAACACTTGACCTGATTGCCCCGCCCCGTTCCAATATCATCCACTAACTACAGCTTCTCATTTCCCCCTTTCTTCCGCTTCTTAATCGATATGAATACAGCCTCTGCTTTTGCTAGCACAGTCCCCGTCTTGTCCTGCAGCATCAAGTCAACAACTAGCTTAATACCGTCTTTCGTTTCTAGCAAAGCCGTGACGGCTATTGTCGACATGGTCGGAACTGGTTTTAGGTAGCTTATATAGAGACTCTGTGTCACCTGAGGCAGAAACTCCAAGAACCCATGCGCCTTGTTAGCCCAGCAGATGGCCCCAGCACATTCGTCGAAGATGGCTGCAACCATGCCGCCATGGCATAGATTCTTATTTATGGTGCTTACTCCGCGGCCCAAACTCAGAAAGAACCGGGCTCTTGTGACGATTTGCGGGCCGATTGTTCGATCGTCTGCATCTTCCGCGTTCGGGGTTTGCGTATCCGACTCAGGTGGTAGGTGGTAGGCGCCAACAAAGAAGGGGACTGTTGTAGAGCTATGCAATGTGGAGCTCCAAAACTCGAATGCTCGGAGGTCGGGATCGAAGACACGGCTGGCGGGCTCTCGGATGATAAGGTCTGGCTCTGAGAGCTCTTCGGCGACCCAAGGGATAGCCTGGAAGTGCGCCATCTGGCTTTTGCTTGGTTCGACCATATTGGAAACGGTGGTGGCCTCGTGAGACGGAGGCGAGTCTGCCTCTTCTCCTAATTGGAAATTCTTTAGTGGATACTGGGGGATACATATAAACACGGTATCAATTTCGACCTTTGTTGTTAGATGACGTCAACAGTCTTGCGTGAGAACTAGCCGGGTATCGAATTTCAGCCTCAGATGCCAAATTATACTACTAAAACAGATTGCCCGGAAAGGGTACGGCTATCTGGCCGTAGGCAAAATGTTATCTGACCTGTGGAGCAAAGACACCCTTACCAAAAGCAGCTAGATATAGCCAAATAGCCGCACTCGTCAGGAAAGGACTCGCTATGGAGCAATGTGCTAATGACCAAGCTTTCGGGTAAATCCGCCCCAAAATGCCCTTTTTCGTTACAGGATACCTGATCAGGTGAGATCAATGCTGCAATCGGAATTCCTGCTGTGAAGAGGTGAGTAATCAACCAAATCCTTCTTCTTACTTCTGGGGAAACACGATATGGATTTCGTCGTTGATTGGAGAATGGTAACCTTAAGTTGTTTGAAACAGAGTCATTTTTAGCTATCAATAGGCTATTGATGGAATGTAGTCGCTCTAGGCTCCCATGAGCGGTCTAATAGTGCTATTCACCTGGTACATGTATATTGCGACACGTGATACATAGGCTATAGCGGCACGCGTGAGCTTGCATGGCTGCAGACTAAAGTGGTCAGCTTTTTATCTGTTCAATTTTTGATACACGTTTTATCTGGCGAGTTTATTTCGACTAATGATGAGCACCGCATAGTTGAGGATGTTGTAGTTATGGTGGCCTCATTCGTAGAATCTCCACTTGGAGGTTTGCTCCGGAGTAAGACTTTGGTTAAGGAGCAATGCCCGGAGTAGCTCAATGGGCATCGTGTTTGCCTTCAAGATCCTGTCGTGAAGCTCCTTCTCGCCCATGAGGCCCTTTGTCAAAATCTCCTCCCGCAGGCCTTGCAGCTGCAATGCGCCCAGCATATACCCGGCCTGATACAATGGGGAGTAGTCGCCGCCGAACGATCGGGTGACCTCGCCCTCGGCGTTGGACCGCTCGTGGCCGACCCAGTCGACCAGCATGTCGACACACTGCTGGGGCGTCATTTCTCCCAAGTGGTACTTGAGGGAGAAGATGATCCTCGCGCAGCGGTGCATGCGCCAGAACAGAGTGCCGATCTTGTCCTCCGCACTCACAAAGAAATCGCCCCTGTTCCAAAAGACATACTCCCAGTACATGGCCCAGCCTTCGACGAAGAATGGTGTGGAAAAAAGCTCTCGGTAAGGGTGGTGGCGCTTGCCCATGAAGAGCTGGAGCCGATGCCCGGGAATGAGCTCGTGGAAGGCCGTGGCACGAGAGAAGTGCGGATTGTTGCCGCGCATCACCATCATCTTCAGGTCGTGATCCATGGTGGGGGTCGGATACGAAACCCAGAAGGACGGGCCACCGAGAAAGAACGGCGACTCCTTTTGCTGCTCTGCCGAGATCATGAACATGCGCCAGGTCTCGGCTAACTCTGGCACTGTGACTAGGTCGTGCTTCTTGACGAAAGCGATGCCCTCAAGAGCTAGCTGGCGGACCATTTCCGGCTGTTGTCCAGGCTCCACGTAGCTATTCTTGACATACTCCATGGCGGCCTTCCAATCATCGCCAAAGTCGGTACCGGCAGCTTCCAGACTAGATGGATGTCATTCCTTACTCAGGCATGAGTCCGGCTTCACTTACCCTAATGTATCCCCATTTCCATCCATATCTAGTTGAACGGAGCCCACACTTTTATTCGAAAGGCTGCGTGAAGCCTTTTTCATCTCCTTCTCGCACCAAAGGTACTGTTCCTGGGCCAACTTGAGGAGCTCTTCTGGCGTATAGGGAATCATCTCCGCCTCAAGCTCGTTTAGGAGGCCCTCTCTCCCGATTGGTTCGACTGCGGCGCGAATGGACCCGGGCCCGTTCTTTTGCGTAAGCCGGGCGTCGATTGCGAATTTGATGTCAATTAAGGCCTCGTCGAGTTGCTGCTTGGGCACAGAACACCACCAGGGAAACAAAGGGTCATACGGGGCGTAGAACCCATAAAACTCATCGAGGTGACCTCGGATCTGATCGATGGTGCTCATGGCCCGCGAGAAGGTTGAGTCGCTAGCTTTTGTCTCATTGGATTGGATTGCCTTTGTCGTTGTCACTATTTTCTTGACTGTCTCATTCAATATCATGGCTGTCTTCTTGCTATCAACGGGGACCATGTTTTGGCGAGCCTCGCAAATGTCGATCAGAGCCTGAACAAATGGGAGTATCGGCTTCACTTGCTCATCGCGTTTGCGGTCCAGAAGCAAGACGCGAATGTTCTTTCTCAGATAGTTTCGAAGAAGTAAGAAGTCAACCTTGTCTTCTTGGCTGTACGTATCGAACGGCGCCTTGAACAGGCTTTCGAGCTCCTCATTGTAGAATCTCTCAAGGCGCTGGGATCTGGTAGGAGAGAACTTGATGTTGTAGAACTTTGTGAGATCATTTTCATCGGCAGTGATCTTTATAATGCGCTCCGGCATAGACTCAACGTCGGCGGGAGTAGCAGCATGTTGCTCGCTGGCACTGAAATGAACCCATCCGTCATCAGGATCGGTGGTGCGTTGAGACTTATCTGCGAGACGCTTGGCAGTCATGGTCAAACTATACTTGTTTTTCAGTGATGGAGTTTAATCAAACGATGATGAATACCAAGACGCAGCATACGGCAGCGACGAGCAGAGAATGCGGGGAAGTGATGTTGTTGACGCAAAGACCCGGGGCACGACTTTCGGAGTGGCTTATCTCGGCCCGGTATGCTGGTATACATGGAGACATAGATCCCTTAGTGGGGCTGATAACGGTTAGCTTTCCTGAGACAGCAGTCCCCTGCATCTACTGCATTCAGGATGGGACAAAATGTCCGTCTCCAGTTTGTTTGGAATGCAACCCCCCGAGATCTTTACCTCCGGCGTCATGCAGTGCTTTTGATTCCGCCCAATATCCAGAGCATGCTCGACTGCACCCAAGTGACATTTGGTCCGCTTGTTCTTGATGGTAGGCGACAAAACCAAACATCGGGTCAAATCTAGTTCGCCATCGCAGCGAAAAATCAGCTCAGTAGTAATGTACACTCGAATGGCTCTCAACAAAAAGGTATCCGCTCCCTGACATCATGATTGGGCTTCTGAATGTTCGTCTTCCTTGGCTAAAAGATGAGATTCTGGTCAATAGCTGGCGTGTCTTGGCCTGTGTAACCTCTTTGACCACAGCCACCTTCTGGGAGTCCGTACCGTCTACTGAAGGAGCGAGACCTTCGTGCACAAAGCCTCTGATCCGCCCACTCACAGAGCTTATGTGTATTGCCCTCTAGATCGAAACTTGACGAGACCTGGGAGGTCCGCCTCCAAGGAATGTTATGGTATCCGGAGATCCCCGCCATATCAGTACTTGTGACCATTCCTAGTCGACACAAGGACCTTTGGGCCAGTCTTGTTCAGTTTGCCACCATGCGTCTTGAAAAAAAAATCATATCAGTAGTACGCTTACCACTATGAGCCAACTGCAATTCGCACTTACCTCCACGGCTGCAGTTCGTTCGCGCTCATAGAAAGACACGACACGCTTCTCGTTCCACAGCCTGAGGTGGGCGATGCCAAAGAATAGTATTCCGAAGTTGGTTTTGTACAAATGTACAGAGGCTTATGAATGGAGTTCGTGTTGGGGCTTCTGTGAGCCTGGACAAGTACCTGGCTTAGAGATTACCAATCCAGATTCACCGTGACACTATTGTAATAAATATCTTGTTCCTACAGGACTGCGGCCCTCAAGTAGTATCCAGCCGTAGGGTGTAAGAGCCGCCCCTTGTCTATGTAAGTAGCACAGATCACTTCACCAAGCCTGTCGTACGCATGGCTTGCAGGGGTGACTTAGGGCTCCTTGATATCGGCTACATCCTCTCCTGCGTGAAGCCCCTATGTTAATATCGACATGGATCCCAAATACTGCCTCCCGCATGTCAGAGTGTCAATGAGGTTTCTGGGTAAGTCGTTAGGCTTCCAGCTAATTGATCAGTACGGGACCAAGAGCGTGATCGGTAACTTGGACAGGGGATAAACCTCATTTGGATAAAGTCAAAATGTCAGTCAGCAGCAACCACAAGGATCATCCGGGCCATCGTTGTAGTTGGATAGCAATTGGATGACATTATCTAAGTTGGATATCCAGCAAGGCTGGTAATGGGTAATAGTTGTGCGAATCCGACTCCCACGTAGCGGTTAACTCAAGCTAACCCTGGCCCCTGTATTTCTCATCCAAGTTACCGATTACGCCCTAGAACCTGCCTCCGACAGGCGGGAAAACGGACATAACCCGTCGGCTGTGTGGGGATTGCCCAAAGTGGCTCACGGGATTTGCCCGCTTCGGTCCTCAAAGCAACGAGTTTAACGTGCAACTCGATCCGTTGGAAGCAACCTCGGACGCACACAGAACTGCGACTTTCCCATTCGCAACAAAAGCTTTTCGAGATGACAGTAGTACATATTGGTGAGATCCGACCTGATTCGCCTTGACCTTGCCCACCCCCCTGCCCCCTCCCCTTACAAAAATCATGTGAGCGGGATAACTGATCCCAAAGCGCAGTTCTCTTCAAGTTCCGTGCAGACGTCTCGGAGGAGCACAGGGAGACGTTCGTCCGCGAGCTCAAGACGCTCAAGTTCCTGCCGTGCGTCAAAGACCGCCGCCTGATCGTCGGCGGACCCTCCGTCACGGATCCCGTGGAGAAGAGCAAGGGATACCACTTCGCCTTGCTGAGCTTCCACCGAGACCGCGAGGCGCTTGAGGAATACCAGGCGAGTGCGGAGCATCACAGGTAAAAGCTGATACAGTCGCGCGCCGGCCCCCTTCCCCCATGTCACAAGCCACAAGAAGACGACGCTGACCTGGATGCTCACGAAAGGGTTACCAGTACCTACCTCTGGCCGTTTAAGGAGGATGTCACGAGGTTTGACTTTGAGGTCACAGAGGAGGACGAGTACATGTGTCAGTTTGTGGCCAAGGGCCTGGCAAACGGGTCTGGCTAGACAGATAATAATTTCTGCTACTTTTTCAAAGGGCTTAGTCTATAAATAATAATAACAAAAGTCCATAAGTAGACATATTGTCACAAGGTAATATAAGGCATTAGTTGTGCTACTATAACTAATAGCATTATTTCTATATAATAGTTATAAGCCTAGTTCACGCTATATACCTTAATAGTATAGCCCTTAAGCTAGTGTCAAAAAGCTTTATAGACGCTACAGGTTTAAATCCTGCTAAGGCTAAGGACTAGTTGTAAATACTCTACCTAGATAAGTTAGACAGTAACTACCTAGACTTTAGCAAGATGTACCTAATTAGAAGGTTGACAAGAGTTATAGTAGTATGTGCCCTAGGGGAGTACGTACCTTTACGGGGCTATAGAGGCTTCCTTCCTAAAGTAGATCTATACAAATAGGGTTACCTGTAATCTAGGGGGGGGTGTTATGAGGTAATATAAGGCGTTAGTTGTGCTGCTGTAACTAATGGCGTTGTTTTTGTGCAACGCATATTTTGTATTACTATTAGGAGCTTGGCTGTTATTTGATGGGGCTAGGATCAAAATTCAACCAAAGTTTGCTTTAATCAACGATTGATATGTTAAAGACAGAGTCGATTACACTTTGATGGCGTTTAGTTCATAGATTCATATAGTGGACCAATTCTGATGGGGGTTGTGTAGCCACCTCGATCGCCGCCTTGGTCATAGCCGCCTACTCAACGGTGCGGTTACCACCGAAGATGACCGCTCCCTGCTTGGCGAAGGCGACGGCGCAGGCGGCGCCAATGCTCAAGCCATCCGGACCCGATTGGCCGAGGCCGATGACGAGGGCGACTTTTCCATCAAGGTTGAACATGGTTAGAAAGGAACAAGGGAGAGAGACTGTGGCGGGAAAGTTGTAATAAAGCGTTGTCTGACGGGTTGGCCACAGCGATGGAGTGCAGCACAACATTTTTGAAGCATCTAAAGCAAATTCTTAAGTTGAATCGAATTGTGATATACATGAAAATCAATACCGCGATGTCATACCTAGGGTGACAGGCGGAGAAACTCCGTCAGCACAGATAAGCTGCCGGACCCCTCGTCCGCTGTATTGCCGACGGGGACGATCACGACATGCGGAGTCCCCGCACCGACATGAAGCACGGCCTTGCCGACCGACCACAAGGTGAGGAATTGTAATCCTCGACGGGCCGAGCAACATCATCTCGTCGATCAACATCTGCCATCATGAGCGAACAGACGTCGTCGATAACACCGGCAAAAGACGGCAAGGCCGCTGTAACGGGAGACTATGACCTCTCAACGCCCATCGACTCGAGCGTCGGCCTGCGGCAAGGGCTGACCTCGTACGGGGACAACCACTTCAGCCTCTTCCTTCGCAAGGTCTTCATCAAGGCCCTTGGTTACAGCGAGGACGCGCTATCGCGGCCCATCATCGGCATCGTCAACACCTACTCGAGCTTCAACCCCTGCCACGCCAACGTCCCGCAGCTCATCGAGGCTGTGAAGCGCGGCGTGCAGCTGAGTGGCGGCTTGGCCATCGACTTTCCGACCATCAGCGTCCATGAGAGTTTCGCGTCACCCACAAGCATGTACCTTCGGAACCTCATGAGCATGGACACGGAGGAGATGATCAAGGCGCAGCCGTGTGACGCGGTGGTACTTATCGGGGGTGAGTGAGTCCGATGGAGCGGAGACCGCCACCAGTAAAAGTACATGGGAATTGACGGCGAGCAGGATGCGACAAGACGACGCCAGCTCAGCTCATGGGCGGGATATCTGCCAACAAGCCCATTTTGCATCTTGTTACCGGCCCTATGATGCCTGGGAGCCACAAAGGTGTGAGGATTGGCGCTTGCACCGACTGCCGCAACAACTGGGCCGCATACAGAGCCGGTCAAATCGATATCGAGGAAATCTCCGCCATCAATGATGAGCTTGCACCAACGGTGATGCCCACCCGTTTGATCTTCGGGCGTATATCATCCGCTGACAGTAACAGGGCGGCACCTGTGGTGTCATGGGCACCGCGTCGACCATGGCGTGCATCCTCGTTGGCCTGGGAATGATGCCGTTCAAGGGTGCCACCGCCCCGGCCGTCTCCTCCGCCAGGTTACGCATCGCCGAGCAGACGGGAGGCCTCGCCGTCTCCCTCCACAGGCTGAACCTTAAGCCGCAGGATCTCCTCACCCGCGAGTCGTTTCTCAACGCCATCATGGTCCTGCAGGCCATCGGTGGCTCCACCAACGCCGTCGTCCACATGATGGCCATCATCGGGCGCCACCCTGTCGTCGCCGGAACCATCACGCTCGACACCTTCGACGAGATCGGCAGGAAGACGCCGCTCCTCGTCGATCTGAAGCCCAGCGGGCAGAACTATATGGACGACTTCCACAACTCCGGTGGTATGCTGGCGCTTCTGCATGAGCTGAAGCATCTGTTGTATCTGGATGCGATGACAGTGACCGGAAAGACGCTGGGCGAGGAGCTCGAGAGCACACCATTTACCCCTATTCCTCGAGATAGCTTGGTCAACTGCCTACAGCCATTCAACGACCCCCTGTTCCCTGCCTCAGCTTTGGCTGTGCTTCGGGGCAACATTGCCCCGGGCGGTGCCGTGATGAAGCAGAGTGCGTCCAAGGACCGTCGACTTCTCAAGCACTCGGGTCCCGCGGTCGTTTTTGCAGGCTCAGCAGATATGGCCCTCCGTATCGATGACCCAGACCTGGAGGTCACCCCCGACAGTGTTTTGGTTCTTCAAAATATCGGACCTGTTGGCAATCCCGGTATGCCTGAGGCCGGCCTCATACCTATCCCCCGGAAGCTCGCCTCGCAAGGTGTGCAAGACATGCTTCGTCTATCCGATGGCAGAATGAGCGGCACAGCAGGCGGTACCATAGTGCTGCATATTTCCCCTGAAGCGGCCGATCCCGAGTCGGTCCTGGGCATTGTCAGAAGCGGTGACATCATAACCTGCGACGCCGAGAAGCGCATCATCAAGGTCGAGATATCTGATGAAGAAATCCAAAGAAGAATAGCCGAAAGGAAAGCAGCGTTGGTCAAGGAGGAGGGAAATGGAGGCAGTAACCCGCCTTGGGTGGCAAAGAAGAAGATTCGTGGCTATCGGGGACTGTACTTGCGCTCAGTCTTGCAGGCCGAAGGAGGTGCTGACTTTGATTTCCTCACAGCAGCTGGCCCTTCTTAGGATCTATAATGACTGCAAAAGGAATTCGTTAAACTGCAATTATACACATTCATTGAATGTACATGATTCATATATAATCAGCTGAAGCTGGGGTACGTCGGTATGAAGTCGTCGAAAAGACATCGCATTATGCTGTCCAAGTTTGCGGTATCTCCCAGCTGTAATTGTTCACCAAAAGAGGTGCCTGAAAGAAATGATTCGAAGGGTTCTTGCGGTGGGAATGTCGAGGAAACGCCCGCCGTCATAAAACTCATGTTCGTCGGATTAGACATTCCCCCAGACGAGCAGCGGCTAGCTACCGGCATGCCGTCCGGGCCGGTGGTATCATCATACGGGCTTAGTGTTTGGGCGTGCGTGGGCTCGATACGTGACGACCGACGCGGAGTATGGGATCCGATGGCAGATGAATTGTTCGTAACGTCCTTGATCCACCGGACAGTCGCCCTAACCATGTCGTCGAGAATATCCCTGCACCGTTTCACTCCGGACCAATGCTCTCCCGTAGCAGCCAAGACTCCTAGACCAGCGCTAAAATCAGACATTAAAATATCCAACGAAGTCTGCCTGGCGACTTCGGGTACCATTTTGATGCAGTACAACATAGTGATGATGCCCAAGACTATAGAATGGCATGTGCTCCAAGTGTGGATAAGTAGATTCTGCTTATATAGCTGATTGAAAAGAATCAGAGTCTCGCGTGCGGCAATGTAGCATTTTTGTAACGACTCGCGAGATGGGCTCGGTATAGCTGGGCTAGGTCGTAACACAAGCATGCGAAGGCCTTGGCATCTGACCTGGCAAATGGCACGGATATACTCACAACCGGGCACCTCGGGAATGCCTTCGTACCATTCATCCAGCTGCAAGATCATCCCACGTTGCCATTCGTTGATGTCAATCACAGCAGGATATGCGTAACTAGGCGTTTTGCGGACGACGCTATTTGCAACGTACTTGAACTCCGAGTTGAGTTTTGCAAGTCGGAACAAATGGATCGAGAAGGCCATACGGCCCGGGCGTGCATTTTGAGGCTGCTGTTCAAAGTTCTGGAGGGAGGCATCATCGATATCTTGTGGCAGCTGAGAAGATTTCAGTAACTGCTGAGCTCACTGTCAATCCTTGGCACTCACTCTCAGGTCGCATGCTTCATCTCGTAAACCAATCGGTCGTCCCATCATGGTGGCAATCATTCTGTCAAGCGAAAACACAACCCAGAATATCCTGCTTCTCATCTCCTGTTCGAGAAGAGAGATGCCTGAGTCGGTATTGATGTCGCGCTGCAGTCCCAAGTCCAAGACAGCGGCGATACACTGGTAGTTGAGGTACCAAACGTTGAGACGCATGCTAGGGCTATGCATCGTGAATATTGTCAGTAAGAGAAGACACTGTAAGCCGGGGATTGAGCTGTCGACGCTGAGCCGGTCGAAATGTTGCATCGCCGAGAGGCAGTAGGATTCTCCTGGAAGATGGGCCCGTAATCTGCGAGTCAAGACAATAGAACCAAGAGCAAGGACCATGAAGACCTGGAAAACGCCTGTGGTCCCGCGATCTGTATTAACGCTGCTGTCATAAACTTGATCAAGCAGGTTCATAAATGTTGGCTGATGTAGGATAGGGAACTGGCAGTTGATGGCATCAAAGTAGCTCTCTGCCAACTGTCTTGCATGTTCCTTACTTGGCAATGGCATTGGGCCATGCAACGCCTCGACTAGAGCTGTGGGTATTGAGAAGGTTGGTGCTTGGGGCCTGGTCGGCCAAACGGTCTGGTCGTCCTGGCGGTTTGAAGTCAACATGAGGCGGGCCAAGAAGTATCCGCTTGAAGGTCCGATGTACTTAGAATCCTGACTGCTGCCGAGTGAGACCATTCCGATCTCATGAGACAGAGTGCTGCTAGCCATGGTATCGGCCATTCGCGGTTCCGAACGTATTACAGGCTGTGTGGTTGGTTGCGATTCCGAAGATGCGATCGATTGTCTTCCAATGTCTCGAGCGTTGTGTTGCGTCACATTGGCTTCGGGCTGCCCACTGCTGAGTTCGATCATGGAGTCCGGTGCAAAGGTTTCGTCACCATCGACATGCATGTCTAGGTCATCGGGTGGGCCTTGGCTGAGGTCCACATCGGAGCATCTCTCACGGATGATGTCCTCAAGCCATCTGATACGTTCCTTCAAGTTTGCAATTTGGCTATTCCACAGTCAGAAGCGTCCTCCAAAGTGGCACGGCTCGACTCACGCTCTTGGCAGGTCTCGGAGGCGAAGACTCTCACCATCGGTACAGACGACTCGAGCCTTCTTGCAGTTGTTGCAGGCTGGGAGCTGACCATCGCACTACTTCCAATCAGTTCCCGTTTCGTCCTCGGTCGTTCCACATGCCCCACTTACACGGATCTTCCTCCGCTGGCAGCGAGAACAAGCCAACCCCAACCGCGGGTTCCTCCGGGCTTGTCGGGCTTGTCGGGCTTGTCGGTGAGGGTTGCTCGCATCGGGCATGTTCCAATCTGTTGCTGAATCACCGAGGATCTAGGTTGTGGTTCCTCGATAGCGGGCTCGACTGTTGTGTGCCTTGGGCCTGGAACAGAAGAGACGGGAAATGTCCGATGTGGGACAAAGAGACGGAGTTGGGAAATGGCGGCGGAAACCAGCACATGCGGGGTTTCTCCGCGTCCAAGGGGACTGGGCTTGTTGGACGCGGAGAAACCCCGCACCCGCGCATCTTTTCCGACCCGCCGTGCTCAACGGCATCCATCACCAGTACTGAGTTGCCAGTGCTTCAGTTTGGATAATCACATATAAAACCCACGGGCCGTGTTTGCCACCCCTCACCCGCTCTCCACATGCACGTTGTGCTCTCATCATATCTTAGTTGATATTTCAGTACCGCACAACTGCAGCATCCTGCGGTACATTATACTGTCCAGTAAGAGAAGTTAAAACAACCACAAAGATGGCCAACGAATCTCAAAAGATTCCAGTAGCCGCCTCCGAGGCCCGCCGATTTGTCGAGGACATTCTCCAGGGCAATGGCGTGCCGCCCGAAAATGCTGCAATCGTTGCTCGCTGCCTCGTCGCCGCCGACCTCCGCGGCGTCGACACCCACGGGATGAACCGCATCCCCTCCTACATGGAACGCATCCGACAAGGCGTTCTCGATGCGGCCGCACAGCCCGAACTCAAGCAAGTCACCCCCGTCGTTGCACATGTCGACGGAAAGAACGGCTTCGGCTTTGTGGCGGCGAGCATGGGTATGGCGGCAGCAGTCGAATCCGCCAAAAACTTTGGCATCGGCATGGCCAGCGTATCGCATTCGAACCACTTCGGCATGAGCGCGTGGGTTGTGCAGCAGGCCTTGGATGCGGACATGATGAGTTTGGTATTTACCAACTCAAGCCCTGCGTTGCCGGCCTGGGGTGGCAAAAGCAAGCTCCTGGGGGTTTCGCCGATTGCGTGCGGTGCGCCTGGGAAGGATAAGCCTTTCATCCTCGACATGGCGCCATCGGTCGCAGCCAGGGGTAAAATATACAAGGCCAAGAGACGGGGTGAAAAGATTCCGCTCGACTGGGCTCTCGATGCCGAGGGCCGGCCGACGGACGACCCAACCGCAGCGTTGGGGGGTGTCATGCTCCCCATGGGAGGCCCTAAGGGTTCGGCACTTTCCATCATGATGGACGTCTTCTCGGGGGTCTTTTCGGGGTCTGCATTCGCTGGCCATGTGACTGGCCCGTACGATCCTTCAAAGTCCTCAGATGTGGGCCATTTTCTCGTCGCCATCAAGCCAGACCTATTCATGAGCCTGGATGCCTTCAGGGAGAGAATGGATTATTTGTATCAGCGTGTTGTGGGTTCAGAGAAGGCTATGGACGTGGAAAGGATCTACTTTCCGGGCGAAATCGAGCAACTAACCCAGCAGGAGAGAGAGGTGAGCGGTATCCCTTTGGTACAGGCAGAGATCGATGCCCTCAATGAAGAGGCGGAAAGAGTTGGTGCGCAGCGGCTGGCCCCTATGACGAGTAGTTGAATGGAGTAGCAACCGAAATGCATTTGATGATAAGAAGTATGTCTCTTATATGGAACTCTGAGAAAAAGAAATAGTGACGAGATACACACCAGATTTGGACAATACAATCGATAGCCGAAGGCTTCCTTACAGCACCAATGTGAACCGGCTGGCCTGTGCACTCAGCACCTCCCTTCCTCCTTCCTCCTTCCTCCTTCCTCCTTCCTCCTTCCTCCTTCCTCCTTCCTACCTTCCTACCTTCCTACCTTCTCAAAAAGGGAGGTCAGAGTAAGCATGGCACGTCTTCTCTTTCCTTCCCGTTCTCTTGTCTTCCTTCCCTACCTGTGACAGGTAGTAACCGTGTCAGTACGTCCCCAACCTCCTTAGATTCCTCGATGAAATATCCGAGCCATCCCAACATAGAGATGACTCACGTGCCAGCGGCTTGACATTTGTTTGTGCCTAGGTACAGGATCCCATTGATGCACGTTCGTCACTTAGTGAAGGTCCCAAAAATGTGCGGCACTATTTGGTACCACGGTTCGATGGGTGGTTGCGAGACGTCGATGTCAGCCCAGGGCCCTGCAGATCTCAGCGTCTTTCCAGTGTCGCGACACAGCTGGCAGCCATTCAGGGCACGGGGCCAAACGAGGTTGACGAAACCTGCACCGGTCATTATTAGCACGGGAGATGATTTCTTCGACGGCTTTGGTTGGGGTTCGCCTACGCTGGTAAAGCCGAATGGGCCAGCTATGCGTCGCCTTGACGTGCTCATACAGGTACCACCTTCCGCCCTTCTTCAGGTACGAATACAGCTCTGGAATGTTCTTCTCGGGCTCGGGGATGCTACACAGACAGAGGATGGAGACGATGCAGTCGACGCTGCCCTTTTCAATCTTGCCATTCCACGCCGTCGGATCGGAGAGAGACTCGATGCCCGTAGGAACGATCTCATAGGTGCCATCCAGACCGGCCTCTAGCACCCGCTCTCTAAGCACGGGGTGAACGTCGGTATTGGGCTCCACACCGTACACCTTTGACACGCCCTCGGCGATCCTGCGCCTCACGGCGCCCTGTGATGCTTCAGACTTCTTGCCGCCCTTGGAAAATAGGCTCACCCATAACCCCGACCCGGGGCCGATCTCCAGCACGACGCCACTGACGGGCGGGTGGACGGGGTCCTCGACGGTGCTGCCACCCGTGACGCGGCCCTCGAGGAGAGCGACCATGCGGTCCGAGTTGCCGGCGCGAATTCGGGGGCCCCACCAGGCCCAGAAGGCAGAGAACCAGACGTCCTGGAGGCGGGAGGGGGACAGGAGGGTGGCGAAGTCGGCGGAGCGGATGAGGCCGAGAATGGTGGGGGGCAGGTAGTAGAAGGATTTGGACAAAAAAATCCAAGGGCCGACGAGGCCCCAAAAGACTTCAGATATTTCAGAGAGGGTGAGCATGGTAGGGTGAGAACGGGTTCTGCAAGAGGGGCGATCAGCGAGAGTCAATGAGCGAGAATTAGGATTAGAGGTACGGCGGAGAAAGACCGATGAGTTAGACGAGGAACGTAGTCGACAAAGGTTCTGCCAGGGAAATGGCATGCGAAGGTTGAGATGTGACACTGGGGTCTGATCGGCTTATAAGTGGGAAGACCCCGAGCCTCCAAGAGGGGAGGGAGAAGAAGCATTAGTCAGTCTGATATGTATCAATGGGTATATTCGGGACAAAATGCAATTATCGTACATAAACGCCCCGTCAGGTCCACTTCCCTATCCCGATCTGGAGCCCATATCTCTACTAGTACGTCAATCCAACTTCTCCGCTACCGACCACGCATCTTCTTTATCTACGTCTTTATGTTTTTCCCAGTCACACCTTCGTTGCTGCCGGTTAAACCATTTTACTGCCCGTAATTGGATAACGGACTAGCATAGGCACGTCGTCGTCTCTGCATCGGATGCACCACGCCAACGAAATCCCCTCACCCCTGTACCTGCTGCCTAGCAAGCCGTTCATGACGATTGGCCAGCCTGATGCCATTGCGTATCCCACGCTGTCAGCGTCTGTTGCGCCTGACGGCGGCTGTCAGAGGTCGTTCGCCTTGATGCTGTGCCAGCGGCCAAGAGGAGTCTCTCGGGTAACTCCATAGGGTTTTGCTGCAGATACACGCCCATCATCGACGCCGTGCCCTGGTAGGCGACAGATCTAGCACTCATCCCACAGTCAGCACGTTATCATCATCGTACCCACATGCGCTGTACGTACCCTCCATTGGTTGTGGTGGCAGCGGAAGGTGCAGATCTTTGGGACATCTTGATGTAAATGTATGCGATTTATGTGTGGTACTCGAGTTGATTGGTTTTCTGCAAGCAGTTCGATTGCACTGGACGGTTTCGCCTGAGGAAGATGTTCGCGATGTTCTCTCTAACGGACTTCCCCTCCATACCCAGCAGGCCGTCCCATTGATATACGATCCTGAGGATGCCATTTTCTTTTTACGTTCCCAGGTCCTCAATTTGGCCTCGATGCTGTTCCGCTCAATCGAGGAGATCCCAAAGGCATGAATGCGCTGTTTGAGATCTGCGAGTATCTCCAGATCTTGAATCGTTCGATAACTGTGTGGGAGAACGTCATGTAGCACTTGCGCGAAGCTGCGCAATCATTCAGACTTTCATACGCCATTCTGACTTGCGTCTAGGGCCACCATCTCGGTCGCTGGCATTGTCATCATTGGCTGCACCCGCATATATCTGCCTAGCTCAGGCGGGATCGCAACCCCGGCAAGGCGCAGCTCACATAACAGCAAAGAGCGCGAATGCGCCCTTGAGAAATTCCTACAACGGTGTGTTTTGAGGGATTTCAGAGCCTGGCACCCCTCCTTCTCTGTGTTCTATTCCTCCCCCAACATCTTGCTCCGTGCAACTGCGGCATCATTCGAGTGCCGGCTTTTACGTTGTCATGGGTCACAAGACAGTCGCAAGCAACCGTCCAGCGACCTGGTCTGCGGAAGTGCACAACGGTGCTGCAGCGCAAAGAATGTCGGTTGACGCGCCAGTGCGTACCGACGAGACTTCCAGAGATCTGGCGTATCAGTTTCTACGAATGAACCGTGCCGCCCGCCGTGCGGCTGTCGCCGAAGACCATTACACCAGCACGCCTCCCAGCTGTGTCTCGCAAAGAGATCGTGCTGCTATGGTAGCCGAAACTTCACAACCACAAGGACGGCGTCACTCATCTTTCGAACCGGGAACATTGTCAAGCCTGGCATACCGCGCCAAAGAGCCAGCCCAAAACCCAAGAAAGCACCAGAGAGGGAGTCCTTCACTCGGCGACATTGAGGAACAGACGGAGTCCCCAGGGGAGCGACACTTCAAGAGAATATCGGGCGACTCGGGCTACGGCTCCGACACACAGCGCATTCGCTGCGAGCAAAGCATATATCGTTATGATCGCCATATAGTAGACACCGAGGTGCTCTACAAGCCCAAGGTGGTTGTTGTCAGCTGTTCCGCGTCCGACTCGGAATGCGATGAGGCTCTAGGCGCTCCTAGACGACCCAAGAGGCGCCTCCGCAAGCACAGCTTTGCCGCAGACACCAAGACGGTCGACACGGAGGCACCGGATGCTCGGTACTGCCTTCCGGACTCGGTCGTAGAGAGCACTGAGTCGGCGCACTCTCTTTCCCACTCTTCGAAGGGCTTGCGACGAGTGAAAGGAACAGCCACTTTGCGGCCAAAGATTGACCACCATTCAGGTCTAGCGAAGCCAAGGATGAGGACCACGACCATGCCCAGCATCATTTCTTCCGGCAGCGGCTGTGCTGACAAACCAAGCCTGCTACTCAAGACATCAACATGGTCCCCAAGCGGCAAAGACACGGTTCGATCGGTGGTACAGAGACGGCCGCGGCCGGTATCTGGACCGCCCACATTGCCCCCCAACTGGCATACAAACGCCATACCCAAACTGGCGTTCAGGCCCGTCGAAGAACAATCCGATTCTCCAAGCGACAGCGACGAATCCTCCGTGGAATCCAGTGTCTTCTCGATACCAAACTCCCCGGTCGAACCCTGCGAGCTTGATCAAGATGATCCATTCGCTCCTCACTTTGATGCCGTCATTGCAAGCGTCTTGGAGCGGTTCAGGGATTGGCAGGTCCGTCAAAGGGGCGGGCAAGGCGGGGGAAGCCGAGCTAGGCGGCCCAGTTCCAACACAATCGACTCCGGCCGCTCGTCGAGGAAGCGGTCGCATTCTGAGCTGCCAGAGCACGCCGCTTCGGATGAGGACGTCCATACGGCCCCGGGGTTCAAGAGACCGAAGGTTCCCGCACCCCCAACGAAAACGCTTGCTTGCCCCTTCTGGAAGAAGAACCCCGACAGCCACCGGCAATGCTACAAAAAGGTCCTTAGCAGGATCAAGTACGTCAAGTCTCACTTGTATCGCTTCCACCCGGCCCCAATCACTTGCCCTTGCTGCGGTGCCGAGTTCCAAAGCGAGGGGGTGCGGGACGGGCACCTGCGAGCCAGGCGCTGTGAGGTCGTGGAACGGAGTGATATTGCGGACCACGAGGGCTTGACCGCCGAGCGGATGAGGCAGGTGTCTAGGCGAGCTGACCCGCGGCTCTCCGAGGAGGAGCAGTGGTTCGTCATATGGGACACCATATTCCCCAACACTCCGCGGCCCTCCACGGCTTACATCGACGGTGCCCTCTCCGAGGATATCTGCAACTTCCACGAGTTCTTTGCCAACTCTGGCAACGACATCATTCTCCACTACTTCAGCCTCCACGACCCCGACTTCGCGCGCAGCGACAGAGCAGCCCTCTACGACCGCTTTGTCAGGGACCGGGTGCTCGAAAGGATCTACGAACAGTGGGCTACCAGGAGGGGGCTGCGGCAGCCCCATGACACAGATGACTTCACGCCGCCCCAGTCGATCCCCACAGAGTCCGAAATTCCGAGCCGGGCGTCGTCGGCGCACGGAAACCCGCCCACACAGGAGCCGGCGCAGACGTATTCGGCGGAGGACATCCAGCCCGTACCGGCGAGTGCTTTGCAGTACGCCGGCCAGGGATTTGATGAAGCTGACGTCGGTGACGAGTTTGACTATGACTCTCACACGCAGAGCCTATTTGACGATCTTGCCGGTATGTTCTCTGGCGCAGACTACCATTGAGACGTGAAATCGCAGCCATTCTTAGGTAAGATAATTGCTGTCAGTTTTTTATAAGTGTTTAAGGGAGGTTATATGTACGTATATA